CATGGCTGGCTTGGGGGGGGGGCTTGCTTTGCCTGCCTCTGCCCCCCTGTTTTGTATTTTAGAATGTCATCTTCCCCACCTCTGGTAGGAGTTGCTAGGCAGTAAACATCAGCTTAGAAAAGGCTGTTCATCTTTGGTACAGCTTTCTTGTTTAGGTCATTTTCTTCTCCTTGTTTAATCTAGCCTTTTGTCCCCTGAAATGAGTCTTTAGTAATGAATACAGTATTGCTGCAAGGTGGTGCAATAGCACTACATCTTGGGTTGCCTGAATTGATAGACTAAATTTATATTTTTTTAATTTATTTTTTGACCATAATGTTTAACTAAAAAAATAAAAAAAAAAGGTAGATAAAGGCTGCCTTTGCTTTTAAGGGAGGGAGAATAAAGATTTCTTCTTCAGTCTGATAAAGTTTTAAACTTAAAAAAAGATCTAGAGCAGTCTATATGCGTAATTTGTTGGCTCTGCCATTGAGATATATGTATGCAAGTGTGAATTCTGTTTTCTTCTTTTCCTCTACTGACTTCCCTCCCTCCCCCCGAATCAGGATCACTAACTTTATTCAAAAAGGCACAATAACCTATTGTATGGTACAGTGTTCTGATTCTGTCTGTGGGGAGGAAAAAGAAAATTGTTTTTATGGATTTCAGACATACACTTTTGGAAGAAAACCTCTGGCATTTTCTTCACTTTAAAAATTCTTTCCCCGTACAAGCTAGAGGACCTATGCATTCTACAGAATCTTTGAAAGATTATAGTATATTAAATATTTTCTTTGCCATTTAATACCACTATTGAATGCATTAAACATATGTTTATACTACACCACATGCATTAATTTAGCAGTCATTGCATTGAAACTTAAATAATTGAAGCTATAATATCCTGGTCTTATTGCTGAATTGAAAAACGTGCAAGAACACACATGCTCAATTTCTTGCCCCATGCCTTTATTAATTTTGGTTTGTTCACTCATACATGTTGATGCTTTTTTCTTTTTTTTTTTTTTTTTTTTTTTTTTTTTGGTTCAGCTATCCAGTTTTTGAATTGCCTTCCGTGCTGTGTTTTCCATCTGTGAACTTAATCAGGTCAAGTTAACTTTGTCGTTCTCCCCTCCCACCCCCCAAGCTTCCACAAAAGCAACACTGTAAAGTGGTTGAGGCTTAGGATGTGAGAACCATATAGCACTTTGTTTCTAAATAAAAAATGGTGGAGATATTTCTACTAAGCTCAAAATACTTTAAATCAGTAGTAAGTAGACACAAATGCTTATTTTTACAGGTTTCATTAATGAGAACCTCACAGTATTTTTTCATGCTGAGGTAACTGGTCAGCCAGCAGAAGGAACCCAGAAAAATGACTTTGCGAGCATTAAAGATACTTACAGTTTCCTATAATAAAGATTAATATTAAAGAAACACATTAACACTTAGTTATAAGACAATGTAGAAGTACTCAGAGCAACCACAATAACTCTGTTGACTTCTGCTTCATGAAAATTGGAGGAACAGTGTCCTTGACAAATGAAAGGAAGATGATTGAGGATATTTGGGGACCTCTGGAATTAGATACACTAGGAATAAAAGCTAACTGACTATGAATCTTATAGACTAGAAATATGGCTATTTATTCAGCACAACAGTTTAAGGGTTCAAAAAGTATGCTTTTTATGCAATTGAATTGTGAAAAAATGTTTTTGAAAATGAAACTTCGAAATAAAACTCCTTTTTTGAGCATCTGACTTGATTAACGTTATTGATAACATTGTTTTACCGATTAGAAAAGTAAAGCAACACCTTATATTTGGAAATAGAAAAATAAATTTGCACAATTTCCTCTGTTTTTTTTTTTTTTTTTGTAAGACGGCGTTATAAACAACTGAAAGTTATTTGTATTCTTTGATCTGTTTGAAGGATATAGCACTTATCCTGCTGTTGACATGGTGAATGCCATCTTTTTATCAAAATGTTTTTCTGTCAGAAGGATCAGAAATGCAATTATTAATTTAAATCTTTGTTCTCAAATGAGCTGACTACATTTTGTTAAAGCCAGTTTCTTTCTGTGAATATTGACTGCTGGGCTAAGTGAAATCTGTGCAGTTTTTGTTTTGAAGCATTTCATCTATGTGAATACTGGAATTACAAATTTAAAACACCATACCAGCAATATATGGGCTATGATTCTGATGAGAAGTATTTCTCTATTACTGAACTTTAAAATTCTGAGCTAAGCTATGGATAAATTAATGATTGCCAATTTAATTTCTTGAAATCTTTTTACAACTGCAAAAAAAAATTGCAAGCATTCTTTATAAATAAAAAATGGGGTAGATGGTAGTTAATAATAAGGGAAATACGGCATTGTTATATCTGGAGAGTGTTCTAAATTCTACACAGATAATGAAAAATTCTTAAAGAATTTTGTATGAATACATGTTGGGTTAAAGAATTTTTATAGTGATGATGGAGTGCCATGAAGTTAATACTTGCAATCCAGATTGCTGTAGTTTACACTTTTCTCTGTTTCAGACCTGGTGTGCACTATTTGTACTAAGCACACCACAGAGTGAATTATCCAAAGTCCATTGATTTTAATGTGTTTTGGTTTGTAAACAAAATTATAGTAATTTCTTGCACATTTTTGAAAAATAATTGTATAAGGATTTATGTATCTGCTTCTGGATACAGTGTGTAAATAAAAATTTCATTCACAAAAAGGTTTGTGGACTGTTCTATGACATTCTAAGTCAAAAATATTTAAAAACGTAAGATTGATTTGGGCAGCTGACAAACATTTAAATTTGAATGGTTACAATTTAAAGTGTTCTATATATTTTTTACCCCTACTCGTTGACTTATCAAAACACTTCTATATACTGATTATATTAATTCCTACTTTTCAAAGCAAGAAGAAAAATTGCCAGGACATAACTAGAATATGATTTTTAAAAGGTCTGCATGCATATTGTAAGTTAATTTTTGATAATTTTTTTGTTTTCTTCCTTAAAAAAATAACAATTCATAACAAAAGTCTCCATTTCAAAGGTAGTATACTATCTCTTGGCTTCCAAGCAAGCAAATAGTTCTTATTTAGCTCCAAAGTAAAAAAGTATATGGCGTTGATCTCCATATATTCTTTTGATGCTGTCTTAGATGCACTTCAAAAAGGGAGTGGGATTTTAAACCCTGGGAAATCGCACAAATAAACCAGATGATCAAGGATAAATTATTTCTCTCTTACAAAAGATACACACAATTGATCACACGTTTTCATGTGGTCTTGACTTACAGACTCAAATTACAGAAAATCATCTGCTCCTTAGGTCTTGATTATAACTGTTTGGTTTTGTTTTTTTCAAAGCAAACAAACAAAAAAACCAACCTTGGTAGTGAGTAATTATTATTCATATTGTCCACAGCTGATACGTACTTTTCTGTGTATTTGGTAACTTAATTCCTAAAACAATAAGCAGAAATAATTCATCGTTTTTGCCACTTAAGAGTTCCTGCTGCTGGGGCTAGTGTTGCATGCTCAGTGTGATGTGTGGGTCATGGGGGAATCTTGCTGGGGTTTTGTTGTTACGTCTGCATGATGCTTTTTATATTCGTCCCATTAAC